GGTGTCTCCTTCTACCAGAGGGCAGAACTGCCATTGCCTCTCACGGTGTAGAGTTGAAGTGTAGTTGCTCCCCTACTATCTCATCGAGCTACCAAAAAGGATTGCTATTGAAGTACATTTATATATACCTGTGTGTACCCCTCCTACCTTCTAGTCTTACCCCTATTGCTGTTGGAGTGTTTCTGTATTTAAAAACACAAAGATTTTAATCTAACTTTACTGTTTTAAATTACTACTTAATATAAATTCACACACATGGAAAAAAAAACCAAACAAAAAAAACCCCACAAAGACCCCACAACTTCTTAACTGGTTTGAGTCCAGTAGTGAAAGAATGATAACTTTAAAAATGAAGTGTACACCGTATATAAATCTGCATATTTAAAAAAGCTCTGTATGCTGTTAAACTGCTGAGAATAATAGAAGTCTCAGTAGTAAATGGGTAAGATTAAAAATGCACACATATAACAGAATCATAGAATGGTTTAAGTTGGAAAGGACCTTGAAGATCATCGATGACATTATTAATGCTTTTAATTTTGAATAAGGTGAATTGTCTATAAGCAAAATACTTGTGAAGTAGTGAAGTAACCAGCTTGAAACAGTGAAAGAGAAAATTAACTAATTCTAGCTTAAGTCTAAAGAACTCTGAGGGGTAGAAGGCTGCAGTGGCTTAAAAATCACCATGCAATTACTTTATACAGGTGGTACCAGGAGAGACCGCACTGGCATTTTATAAAGCAAAAAATCCTACTGACAAACCAATAATTGGAATCTCTACCTACAACGTAATACCCTTTGAAGCAGGACAGTATTTCAATAAAATACAAGTAAGTGTCAACAACGCAAAGATTACATTTTCCTTTACATGAATGAGAATCGTTACCCATAAATTATCTTTTCTCATTTTAATCCTGAATACTATTCTTTGCATGGCCAACATTTTAAGAAAACGCCTTGATTTTTTCAAATGACAGTGCAACAGTTCATTCTTAGCCTAACTGTCTTCATAACAAGCTGCAGTATGTGTCTAGAGTGGCTCCCAAATATATGATATTTAGTAGTAATGACATTGAGGGTAGATGGTAATGATGCGAGCAAACCTGCCCAATGTGCACATTTGAACACTACACTAAAAGTTTTGTGTATTTTTTTTTTTTCTTTTCCTCCTGTAACACAAGAGGAACAGAATTGCTGTCTTGTTGCTTGTATGGCTGATCCTTCCCAGGATTTTAGGGGTGTACTGGGAATAAGAGTTGACTTTAAAAGATGAAGCTTTCTGTCATGTTGGCAGAAATAAAGTTTACCATAGCTATTGTCTAATTGGTTGTTTTTTTTCCTCCCTCATGCAGTGTTTTTGTTTTGAAGAACAGCGGCTAAATCCTCAAGAGGAAGTGGACATGCCTGTCTTTTTCTACATTGATCCAGAATTTGTAGAGGATCCTAAAATGGCTAAAGTTGATTTGATCACCCTCTCTTACACCTTTTTTGAAGCAAAGGAAGGACAGAAGTTACCACTTCCTGGCTATCAGTAATGGGCAATCTCTAGCCAGTTTCACTACTGCTACCTGACTATCAGTTTTGAACCATTTTTCAATGGAAGGAAAAACTGCAGCAGTACTGTGCTATACGAAATTACATTATTAAACCACCATGGGCACATGCTGCTGTTATGAAAGGATGTATTTTTTATTTTTTTTTTTTTTAAACAAAGACTTATGTAGTTGTAATATTATTTCTCAGGGATAGTATTTCTTCATCAGACAATAGAAGGGAACACACTGTTCCTGGAAGAGAGAGGGTTTTCTTAAGCCAGCTTTTTATACGATACATATTACCTGAGTGAGGCAAATTTTTAAACCCAGATGTAAATTGAGATCTTAATTTAAATACAAAGGAACAAATCAGTTTATTCAGCATCTAAAAATGCATTGCTGGCCCTGAAGAATACCTTTTTATAAAGTAACTTACTTCTAAGTTAAACCCAAGTAATCAGTTCATGAAATCTCAAAACTAAACAAAGTTAGACGATATTGCTATGTAACTTTCCCGTGGCACAAGAGGATACAATGATTCAGAAGATGATACACCCTCTCGAATTATTACTGAATCAGTAGTTCATGTGGTAAGAGCAGACTGCTCTAAAACTGTTATCATTTGAATGAGGAACAGTAATTTAAATGTAAGCACATCACATGTGTGGTATGGTTTCCATTTAGAAATACCATCTTCAAATTTCCATGTTGTGTTCAACTCATTTACAGTATCTGTACTGCTAATGACTGCCCTTCCACTCCGCAGAGGACTGTACACCACGCTCCTCTACACAGAGACAAGCCAGGCTTACGTATGAAGGGCTTTGAAGGGAAAGGCAGTACATAAATAACTGCTCTAAATTGCAGGCTAAATTAATGGCATAGGAGTCTCCTCAGAAACCAAAAGGAAATCAACCCTGTGCAGAGGTTAAGTGGGACAAAGCCTGCCCAGCAGCTTATCAGCTGTTCAGAGGTACTCCTAGGTACTCTGTTTACAACCAGAACACGTAAGCCTGTATTTATGTAACTTATCATCATTAGCTGTGGGGTAGGGATAATAACGCTTTATCATAGCTCTGGAAATGAGGAGTGAGTTGCAGAGCAAGTTTAAGTGACCTGCTCATTTTCAGACAGGAACAAATCTCAGCCCAGTATCTCATCTGCTAGGCCAGTTCTTTCTACCCCTTTCAGCAGATGAGATCTAACAAAGTCAAACTAATGTTGGTGTATTTGTACTCTAAAAAGGTAATAGGTAGATCAGAAATAACTTCCAGTTACTTTAGTCTCAATTATGTTTGCATACAATAATTTTAAAAGTGCTCTTTTGAAAAATAAACGGATGCTACCTTTAAAAAGCATTATTGTACCAATTCTATGTGTTGTTTCAATAGATTCGGGATGACATTCATGTCAGGTCTTCACTGTGTATTAAAGTTTTAAAACTTTATGTTCTTTCACATCTCTAATTAATTTTATCCATCAGAACACATGGAGCCCACACAAGTGAAATACATCTGTATAAAGATAGTAGCAAGCTTTATAATCTATAATTCCAGATATGCTTCAGAAAAAAAAAAAAACCCAAACCCCCAAACCCCCACACACCAAGACACATTCTTTGAATCCAGGCTAGGAAAAAAAAAATATTCTTACCTGGGCTGTCTTTAGTCCATTATCTTTTTGAAAGTTGAACCAATTACGACAGTTCTGCACACATTGCTTTATTTTGACCACGTGCTCCAAAAGAAAAGGAATATCCCCCTGGCAAGTGCCAGTTTCATAAAAATGTGGGTTTTCCTCCTGAGTTTGAAAGCCCAAGTTTGCAGTGATACTGAACACATTCCAACTATAAACCAGGCTCTCTAACCTCAGTAATTAGCCAGTTCCCTTTCATCTATCTGTGACCATTTTGCTTCTTTAACATGGAAAAGTTCAGTTAGCAATCATCCATTATGGATTACCATACTGAAATAGCATATTTTAATTTGTTACACTTCAGCGTGCTAGGGGTTTACCAATACAACTAAGCTGGAGGCAAAAATCAATCGACCTCAAATCCTATTTTCCACATTTTTTCAGGCTGCTGACCAGACCATTGCAAATAATATAAGAAAAATAATAATAAAGCAGCTTACCTTTTCACCTCTGCTTGCAAAACCCCCAAGCTTCTTCAAGGGTGTGTTTTTGGTAGAAGTAAGGTGTTCTAATGGTTCTAACAACAGACTGCAAAATTGCTAACTATGCAATGGAACACCACGGATTCACACTAAAATACTTCCAATACTATCTACATTTAGTATTTCATGGAATACGTGTGTCATCTGGTAAAAACTCAGACATGATGGGGGTTAACTTCTCAGTAAGCATTTGCTTTTATTTGGAATTTTATGCTACAAAAATTGCGAAACCGACTGAGAACTTCTTATCACGTAAACAGTTAACATTTAAAATGCAGTATTTCACAAAAAGTTAGCTTATCAGCTATGAACATGAACTAGGTTCTCAAATTTTATATCAATTATAAATTCAGAGAACTATACCTGTTAAAGTGCACATTTTACATTCAGCATTAAAATAGATAAGGCACTTTAATTATTAAAAGATAAAGCTTATTAACAGAGTTAAACAACTTGACTAAAATAAATGTGTAACTATTGCTCATCTGCATTGTAGATGATTATTTTTTCCTTCACCAAAACAGCAATCTCTGCAGGGCAGGAACATTGAAATAAATGATTGATCCCCCTCCAATATTTACTGAGTAAATAAAAGCAACAACAACATAGGAACAAGCAAGGTTTTTTCTGTTCTGTTAGTCATGGATGACAGCACCTCATGTCCCAGCTCAGGTTCTTAGCAAGACAAAAATCCAACTATACTGTAGGCTTTTAGGAAGAAAACAAAAATCTGTATTCAGAATATGAACGTAGGAAAGTAACACCACGTGCCTTCAGACAGCTATCAAGAGGCCAATTTTTAGAAAAGTCCTACGTATCAAAACCCCCTTATAAATTTATAGGGAGATTAACACAGACAGCCACGAGGCCAAAATAGAAACCAGATTCTGCAGTTTCTGTAAACAATAATGTTGTTTTGTTTACTGCATAAAGGGGTAAACCAATACAAAGGAACAGTTAACTTGCAAGCATCCTTTTGGTTTACTTGTGTCATGCGTCAAGTGTTACTTCATACGCAGGTGAATTTGGAAATCATATTTTAAAGGCTTCAAAAATACTTTAAAAATAAACACGCAAGTCACCTTGAGGAATACACAGTTGAACATTTACAACAAATTATTAAGGTGTTGATCCAAGTAACTCTTCAACTTCCACACAGCTTAGTACTCCAATACATGTTGTTGTGTCAAAATACAAAACCTGTTATGTTATTCGCTTGTACGTTACAGGAAGCACTGCACAGAACCAGCTTCAGAGAATAACCTGTGTTAAGTAAAAGACTCCACCTTCAGCATTCTGTATCCTTTTTAACTTCTGTCTTCAGCACGACATCAATTTCTTCATAAATAGCTCTGAAAGAAGAGGAACAGGGTGACTCCTACATCACAGTTGTTTCATTTTGACAAAATGCACCAATGAAATCCTGCCCAAGCATGAACTGCCAAGAGTTTGTAGTGTTTGCCAAAGGGAGCGTCAGTTGCAGGATGCCCAGGTTTCCACGGGAACAAAGAGCCAATCCTATAGTAAGCCTGTGATTATGTATTTAATGTGAGACCTCTGGACACTCACTTTTGATGAAATAGATTTGGGAACAGGACTGCAAAACGCAAGTGGCAGGCATACCACGTGGCATGCAATTACTGCACTAGCTAAAAATAAGTAAATAAATAAATAAAAGCTTTGTAGAGGTTTCTCTACCTCAGAATTTGATGGTTCCTTTGAAAAAAGTTTTGTGCAGATGGCTCAATTTTCTTTGCAATTTACTGGTAGAGAGTTCTGCTATCTGTTTAGTTTCATATTAGTTTTCTGTCTGACTATGGCTCTCTGGAGAGTCCCAGCATCCATTCCCTTTTGTAGCTTATATTTAAATTGAAGATTTTCTTAAAACACAGTAGAACAACATTCCTAAAAACCATGACTGCTGTGAACAGGAATTATTTTGGTCACCTCACTCCGGAACTACCTGAGTTGAAGTGTCAAAGAGCTTCCTTCACCAGGACCCTTACCACATTTTATTCATCTTTTCATATCACTGGACAGGATTTAGCAGATCATTTCTGACACAGCATTACTCCACCAGTTTTACAGATGATGTTCAATGAACACACTATAGGAGTTTATTCCTTAATTGGTTATGCCAGAAATATTGGAAGCAAATGTACAAAATGCAGCCCCTCATTTACATTAGCGACCCAGTTGGTCAGCTAACACAGTCTAAATAGCGTGGTCTGTTTTGTCACTCAGAAGAAAAAGCCGTCTCAGAAGCCTTCTTGCCTTTGGCAACTAAGAAAACTGCATATTTTCTATTTTAAAAGTTACTTACTCAGTGGGAGCCAAGGGATCAAATTCCATTATCTCATAGTAATGAGGCGACTGTGACTTGTTCTTTGATGCAGCTGAAGAATAAAGACGGGCAGAAAAATCCAGATTTAAATGTAAATGAAAAGCATGCTTACTGCATGTTACTTTTGTGTATCTTCCTGAAAGCAGCAGATTATCTCTGATATATCTAGTTGCTTTAACTGCTAAAACGGACAGACATGTCTAAGGGAAGCCAAGAGCAATATGAGATTTTGTCAGTGTTTGTTGCTGCTCCTAGCCTTTAACAGCCTTTTTGTAAAGCCCTTAGGTTCTAACAAGAAAAACATATCTCCATGAAAGTTAGATGGTCTGCAGTATTTATTACCTGCTGCTGATGGTCCATTTAATGACGTAGTATGTCCAGTCTGCAGATTTACTGGATTCAGAGGCACTGAGCTTAAAAGAGTTGCCAACTAAAGATATCAAACAAAACAGCGCATGAACAGATTGTTCTATGAGGACCGGTTTCACTTAACTTACAACTGCTGACTTATCTTTAGACTCTCAGACTACAGCAGGTAAATTCTAAGGTCAACAGTTATCAATCTAATTAATCTCCATTCTTCACACAAAGTTCAAAACATCTTTTAGTGTTATCTACAGCACATTTGTATAATTTACTTCTGTGTAATTGATTACGCTACAGACTGAAAGACTGCAGTACTCACAAGACAAATACCTGCTTTTACTTGTGGTTTAAAATAGGGAATATGTGTGTGAGTTTGGGGGCTGCTTCTCATCTTTTCTATTTCATACTGCCTAGACAGAATAGCATTCAAATTCATAACATTACCTCAAAGCCCCTTCATATTCTTTGCATTCCTTCTGTCACAGGTGTTTTGTCTGCAGCACATGCCATTTGTTCTACACTGTACTTGGTTTTTAAGTGTTTGGTTTTTTTGGTGGGTTGTTTGGTGTTAGTAGGAGTTTGTTGTGTTTTGGGTTTGGTTTTTTTTTGTTGTTGTTTTGTTTTTAGATCTCAGCTTGCTTCACCCAGCAACAGATTAAACACAAATAATAGAGCAACTGCTTTCTGCAAACTCCTCCGAGATTGTGCTGGACCCAAGAATATATGCTTTGATATTAGCATCTGTGGTATCAAAAGAGGAAAGCTGGCCTCATCGCCAAATACAGACTGTTCTCTGATGTACAGAGAAGGGCCACAAAATAGATCTTTGTATCCCATTTGGACAGTAGTCGGGGCAAATCCAAGCAGTTCTCATTTTGACAGTTGTCAGCAAAGAATGATTATTCTGAACATGAGTGTTACTCACATTGCTATATGAATGTCCAGCTGGGTTGCTTACACTATTGTTTTGTGCTTCAGTTGCAAATCTAGGAGAGAGTAATACATTGAAAGTAACTGAGAAACTATTGAAACTATATTATGATGGTGACATTTTTTTGCTGGTCTGTCTTCACCTTATGTCACAACTCAGAGCAGTATGGGCAGGTGGGCCAGCGTCCCATTCACAGAAAAGGCAGGGAACTACAAGGACACTGCTCCCATCTTAAACTCTTCTTATTGACGTGTACAATTCATCTGTTTCTTCCTTTCACTGCATCATTGGCAACACTCAAGCAGAAAGTCATATATATCTCCAGTATAGTTTGACTGTTGAGATAAATTTATATCTATGACTGAACAATGCTGCAGGAGCAGTGTATTTTTAAGCATGTTAAGCAGCGTCTAACACACAAGTAGTTTTCAGTTGCTTTTCTGGACTAATGTGTAAAAGTAGTAAATCTGTGTTCTCAGAGCTTTCTATAAATTCATTAGATGAATTACAGAGTACTAATACCTCTGAAGTTCTGTTATCTCTTACCATTTCTTGATGAGAGATTACTCACGGGAATTGCTGAGCTTTTATAGTAGTTGCCAAATCTATCTGTGGATAAATTGATGGATGATGCCTGTTTATATCTGCAGATATGCAATCTGAAATTCAAAGTGTGAATTAGTGATCATTTAAACATTATTAAGCAAATATTAGTTACTAGTACTATGAACAATGAAAGGGTAAAGTTTTGTTTGGAAGGCATATAAAGAATCTGAAACTAATTGCTGTTTATCACATGAAAGGCAAAATTTTCATAACTCTGAAAAGGTTATAGATGCAATATATTTATCTCCTTAAAATGTCAGAACAACATCAGTAATGCTATAAACAGTAGACACCACTTCACTATTTTCAAAAGATTAAAATGGAATTATAAGCATTTATTCCTGCGTGGACATTCTCACCTTTAACCTCTGTATACGGACTGCCCTAGCGTGGATAAAAGTAGGGCTTACACAAACAGTAATTTGGGGTACCAAAGTTAGGAGCTTTACTCACTCCTCTGACTATGAAAGAAGTCTAAAGTTTGAGAAAGGTACTCAAGTTCACTCCTCTGAGTGAACTGTTCCTAACAGCAAGCGCCTCCTGAAACAACTTAGGACATCAAGAGGGTATCAGAAAAGTGTATCTGTGTTTCTTTCTTCCAAGGCTACAGAACAAGCAACGACCAGACTGTTTTACAGGCTAGAAAACAGAGGGTGTTCTACTGTTCAAATTTACATAAGGGGGAAAAAGATTATTGCTTCCACTGCAAAGAAATTACAGGCAACCTTATACTAGCTTAAGTTTTTTTCCTATGCACACACATCAATTCTCCTTTTAAGGAGATTTAAGGAACATCCTTAAAGTTAAGGGGTACCTTTGTTTTCTTTCTTACAAGAGACTTCTTAATTCCTCCACTAAGCTTTTGTTGGGTGTGCTTTATGAAACCAGACTGCCAGGGGAACGTGCATTCATCACTTACTAAGGCCTGAAGGAGACACTGCAGAGTCAGTTTGCACCCCTGTTGACACGGGGGATGGAGAATCTACAGAGAGGTCGAGTAGATCACTTGAGGGAGCAGATGGCTGTTTCCTGTATAGCTAAATGTTTGAAAAAGAATAAAGTAGTTTGGTTTTTTTTTTGGTGTGGTTTTGTTTTTTTGTTTGTTTTTTAAAGGAACTTGTATAGTTTTGAACAAATTGCTATTTTCACAGTATATAAACTTCTAAATTCATAATATTACAAATTGGCAATTATGAGACAAGACCAGGATTTTATTTTTTTTTTTGGTGTGAAAGATAGCTAATGAAACAAAAAAATGCTTTCCAGAAAAGATCACTTTCAGCAAGGTTGCCATTTCCAAAAATGTAAGGAATATAATTCCAAAGTAGGCAATAGAACGGACTCAATTCTAAAAAGCAATTGTGAGCTTGTTTAGATAAAGGTTTGATATCAATCTTCCGATTGACCCTATGCAATTATTTTCATGCTACTTACTTGTGTTATTGAGATTTGATACATATTTAGGAGATTTTTTTCATTCCTGTTCTGAATAGGAAGAGTTCAAAATCAAAACAATATTTCCTAGAACACAGAAAAGGGTTCCCTTTGTTTCTGCTGTGAATGTGTTATAATTAAAAATATAGCCAACCAAAGATTTTAATAAAAACCACATGCTTGAGTCATCTGGGTTTGGTCACACCAGGCTAAAAAAAAAAAAGGTGATGCATTTTAAACTTGGACATTCCTGAATAATACAAAAAATGCAAAGACTGCACCATTTGGACTTTTAACTAATCCAACAGTGCATCCACCAAGCAAAAACATCCACCCACATAACTAGAATGTAGTAATAGTGGCTTTTCAAGGAAAACAAGATCAGCTTCTACCTTTTTTAAAATAATTGTTAGCTGTATTTCAGCAGTCACAATGCAGTCAATTTTCATATTAAGTCCTAGATGACTCCACAATTATGGCTTAGCAGAAGCCGAAACATGTACAAAACTACTTTGGGCAATATAATTAACAACCATAATTATTGATCAATAAAGGAAAGTCATTAAAGATTTGCTACAAGCCATTATTCACAATTCACAAAAAGCTTTGTCACAGAAAAAAACATCAGTAATAGTGAATTCTGATAGCATAATAGTATTTCAGTCTATAAATGCTTAATAGAGAACAAATGAAAAGAAACATTATGGTTCCTCATTTTGTATATGGCAGATAATAGTGCTTAGCTGTAGAAGTAATAAACTGGCATTCGAATAGACCTCTCTCTCATTTTTCCTGACCAAGGTTCCATCTTAGATTTGACATTATTTGCTACTTTAGTTACATGAATTTGCATGAAGTTCTGCAAGTGACACTTTAGAAAATCAGTAAGAGTAGTATCAGTCTACTGTTGCCTGTACCTCTCAAGTAGAGAATAAAATTCTCCATACATTAAAAGTGTATTTTTCACAAGGAACAGAAAAAGGAGTGTTTACAGTCCTGCAATGTGCGAGTTCCTCTATAATTACTCACCTCTGCGCGTTCACGTTGTATTCTCTGATTCTCCAAAAAACGAACTCTGTTTCGAGAGAACCTGTTGAAGTTGCAGAGTTAAATGTTCATTCTTACGTTTCTGTGATGTTGTTCAGAAGACTATGAAACCAGTTATAATCAAAGCCTGATCATCAAAAGATTCCAGAGGTGCCAAACAAGCACTACAGGTGCTTTTCTCTGGGGCGCTTGTCTCTGCACTAGCAATTGGCTCACTCTTCTCCAGGGCTGTGGTCCCCTGATCACCTATACTAACATCATTTAGTTTGTTCTTGGGCATGCTTCTGGATACAGCCATCTGTTTCTTCCAAAACAAAACCAAGGCACAGCTGACAATAAAGTTTGCCTGTGTTCATGCAAGATAGGTAACTACGAACACACCCGGTGCCAAATCTGGCTCCTTCTAACCAGAACAGTCTTCCAGCTGAGTCCCAGGAAGCCTTCTATCCTCAAAGGTCCCCACATTCCCTCATGCCATCTCAGGACAAACCACACACCTATTCTGGTACTCAGCACTCTCATTAGTCCAGCCATTTGAATTAATTTTTTTTTAAAAAAAGAAAACAAAAAAAAATCCAGCTGCATAAATATTTATGTACTAGGAGTCATAACAGTGCTACACTGGGTCCAGAGAAGCAACATTATCGTTTACATTTAATGAATCTCCCTGGATGCAAATGTATTGCACCTTAGGTTAGTCACGTCATATTCAGCATCTATAAGGTCAATCTATTTCAGAAGTAAGAGCCCTAAGTGGTATGGACATGAGACACTCTATACAACTGCATTTGCTCTTCCGGGTTACCATACTGGTGAGGCCCACAAAGATAGTATATGTGCAGGCAGGAACAGGAGAAAAATAACACCTTTCCAACTGCACAACATAAGGTTATCTGAAATACAGGAAGAACTGAAGAGTTGCTAGAGCCACTAGAGGGAGTCATTGCTACGCAAATGAGGTCAGTTTATTGCACAATGGTGATTGCTCCTGGTTTAATTTGGACTCTACATTAAAAATCAGAAACAGCAAATGCAGCATGACTTGTCTTCAAACAATACACATAGTCTGAAACAGATGCAGCTAGTTAAAATCAGTTTGTTCTTTACACATCTTATTGTTCAGAGGGATTTCCAAAGAACAAATCTCCTCCAGCAAACATTAACCAAATACATTTCAATACTTATCTAATCTAAAGCGCAATGCATCTGCACCCAGGGAGACTCATTACATATAAACCATAACATTATAATACTAAAACGCAGTAGTCCAGTTTCACAATGGCCAATTAGTTGCTCCTTCAATCATCAGGTGAGTCTTTCGTAAGGAATTGGTTGAATTATACCCACAAGCTGCTATTCATAGTTTCAAGAGTTTCTTGGCCTTGCCAGTATTCATCAGTTGTAACAAAAATGTAAGCCCACATCTGACTTCAGTGGATTTACAGAAGCTGAACAGAATTCTAGTCGTGCCTTACTAAAATGAAAAACTTCCTACAGTGAGAAGCAAACACACAATTATTTCAAGGCACTTACTGTAAAATACACCAACACTGCTGTAGACATAAGATTTAAGGATAAATGAAAATTAAAAGTTGTTGAGATTAGACTCAAAGTTTGTGCCACGACACTTTGAAGAGTTAGTGATATTTTCAGTGCAGCATTCAATAGAGGTTTAAAAAGAAAAATGACAATGATGAACCATTTCACTAGATGTGTCATGATTTCTGTAACATTTCTTCCCATGGAGGAGATATAAACTACTTAACATGGAAGGCTAGCTCCTATTAAACCAGAATACTCTCCATGAATATACTCACTGTGAAAATTTGAGGGATGATACTGAAATTCTGAGTTTAAAATTAATTTCAGTTTTGCTAGCATCTAGTCATGCCACTAATGACATAATAACATAGTAGATACATACACAGAATCTCAACACAAGCACTGCGGTGCTTTCACGTGTGAAAGAAAGAAACATTTGGTGCTGTAAGACAAGTAGAACAGTGTGTTTCAATCCGATTGAGAAAAGCAAGCGACTCTTAAGCATGCAATAAGGCAGAACGCTATTCCATGGCCAATTTCTGCCATAAAGCTGTCAAAGTTGTTTAAAAAGGAGAACAAGTATTCTTTCCTGGAAGCATACACACTTAACAGAGGTAAGAACCATCACCAGTACCAAAGGGCATGTAGCAGACTGATCACAAATTCCCTGTGCACTATCAAAAAGGAATGTCAAATTCCAAAATAATTTTTGTTTGTGTGTCTCCATCTGATTTCCTGCCTATGCTGTTACCCCATTCTGATGGTTTTCTACCTACCTTTATAAACCATTCCTGAAGTGTTTAGAAGACAAATACATAATTCACTCTTTTTGCAATCTAGTTTCTTTTCTGGATTTAAGGCTAAAATCTGTCTCCTTGTGGAGGATCAACATTAGACGCAGGGACCATCTATGTTCATTTAGTGTGCTTACTCAGTTTGGATACCAAATGCAAGGAGAGAGGCCCTGTACTTACCTTTCATGTCCCAGGAGGACATTATTCAGATCTTCATTTACTTGTATTAACTCAACTATCACATCTTCATTCTCCACTGTCACCAACAATTCCATGATCCTCTCCTGCATCATCCGACAGGTCTTATACAGTTTCTGCCCAATGCAGGGGAAGGAAAAAAAAAATAAAAATCGTAACTGTGGTCTCCCAATTTGTCAGTTCTGGAGAAAAATGATAAGACACTTGAGCACTGCAGACTCACAGGTAACATTCCTTAATTTACACAAACCGCACACATACCAAACATTGCAAATAGCATCACTTTCATGTCTTTGATCTCTGCAAGGTATGTTGACAACTACTATCATCACAGCCAGCATTCCTACCCAATCCCTACCTCTTGACCCACCTTTATTTCTAAAGATATATCTGTCTCTTAAGTCGAAATTACAAATTGCAAAATAATGAAGACCCCTCTGGGTGATGCAGAGCAAATTTGATTTGATCCTGTTTGAAGCCGATTAAACTCAGCAGGATACTTCACACAGATGTAATGGATGTGATCCTGTTCAATGTCTGCTTGAAGAAAAAACAATAGTAGTCTAAAGGACAGAAGTGCTCTGTGACACAAGACTCCAGCTCTAACTATTCCTCTAAGTAGGGAAGTTTGGATGCACTTAATCTATGCACTTTTTGAGAAAGTAACACAAGCCTGGCAGAATAAGATAATAGGAGAATTATTTGAGTTTATTGTGAAGATTTTTGCATTATTGCCAGTTGAAATGGAAGACAGTTTATTTACATTCCTCTCCACTGCAGATTTTGCATGTTCAAAGAAACAAATTCTTTAGCAACAGGAACTTCAACTCAGCCAACATTTTATTCCCCCCTGCAGTGCATTTGCAAATGCTGGCTGGCTCCACTTAAGTGGGGGGGGAATGAGGGGAAAAACTACCCTATTTGTACACTGCTATTCAGAAATTGCTCTGGTATAATTTTCAAAGTGATCTGATTTTTCATCAAAAAACATATACTTCACGTAAATAAATGATTTTACGTAAAAAGAAATTTTGCAACCCTTTTCCAAATCTGCATAAAGATTAAAGAGTACTGTGCCTTCCAGTACTGTATCTTCATAGCCCAGGATAGAACACACAAAACCATATTCAGGTTCATGTCTGTAATTAAATTTAAAACCTCTCCAACTCCACACTTTACTACCTGATCCTCATTTGAAAAAAAAAAACAAAACACACACACACACACGTGTATTTCTTATGATGCTATTATACAGGCAGGCTAGCTCCTTTGTAAAGATCAATATTCAATAGAGAAGGAAACTGAAACACTCATTTCAAGCACAGATTTGCTGGCTTTGCTCCTATCCACAATGATGCATGCACTCTTATGTTTTGAAAACTGGAGTTTACTATGATGGACTACCAGCTGGTATGACAATCATCAGTGATTCCAATGAATCTGTGCTAATTCTTACCAGCTGATGATCTGAACACAAATTCCTGCATGACCATCACGTATGTCTATTCATTACCCAGTACACAAGTTTGTTACTCTTCTTGACTGATACTGAGCTTTAGCTATTAACTTTAACTACCGCTAAGTGAGATGTGCTGTCTTAAGTCTTGCCCAGAACAGGGTGGAGAAAGGGAGGAACCTAGCCACTAATGAAGCTACATAACTGAAAATATGTTGCACTGATAAGTTTACCCTGCTACAGTTTTTTTTTTTATTGAGAGACTCCAGATAATTGGGAGGAATGAAATTAATGTCTCCAACTCACTCGAAGCCTAAACAAGCAACTCTTTTTAGCAAAGGACTGTTCTCTCACAACAAAAGCCTAATCCAAGCAATCCAAGTAGAGCTACAAACAAAAGGGAACATTAAACATTGTTAAAGTAACAGGCTAGCCATGCTTGATTCTTTATACCGCTCAGTGCACAGGGCAAAAGAACACCAGTGAAAGAGTTTTTAGTCACTCCCCCACAAACGGGAACTCCACACCCTGTCCTCAAAATTTTGCCAACCATTTTATTACTGGGAGTGTCAATAAGGAATTTCCAGGGGAGCAAAAACCACTGAGAGGTTGTGCCTGGTTCCTATCTGGTTCCCCCAGACAAGCAGAGCTGCCTGTCATTAAAGATGAGAGACAGTGGCAAACTGCTGCTATCTCACTGTATCTCACCTCCAGTTGCGAACCAATCCATAAATGGACACAACTGAACAGCACAACCTTGAAGGTGAACCAACAGCACCCAGTAAGGGTTCCTTGCAAAGCAAAAATTCTCCACTGGGCAAGAGAAGTACACCAAAGGCTTGCAAAAATTACATCACTTCTTCAACATATTCATTGCTGACAAATTACCAAAAATGCTTCCTCATAATAAAGTTCAGAGGTAAGTTTAAAAACAGAAGGATGTGATAAAAGCTTTTTAAATTCTTGCAGACAGTATGAAACAGAAAAATGTCCGTTGACATAGGTTACTATTGAAATGCTAAAGTAATACTGCATTTTTAATTTCTAAAATAGAAAATACAGCACAAGCAAGTAGAAGAAATGACATCACAGAAAGAACATCCACCTGTTCACTGTCAAATCTAAACTGGACTATTGCAATACACTTCCTTCAGGCTACACTTTAAGAGCATGTGGATTCACCTATAGCACAGCAAGCTTCCAGTCTTTGAGGTCACGCACATAAAACCAATGTTTCATATTCTTCACTGGCTTTCAGTCTGCCTTTAAGGTACTGGTAATAATAAAGAGCGCACCAAAAACTCCAGGACGGATATGAGAGACAGACTGTGTCATCATCTATTTTCCCACAAGGCAACCGCGTTCAATTGGAATGTTCTCAGGGCTGTTTGACAAAACATGCTTAACAGACAACGCTCCATTATGAAATTCCTTTGCCCTTGGAATTCCCTAGAGCTTAAATTTGCATTGCAAGCTGTATTGTCCTTTCCTGACTGCCTAGATGTCAGGGGAAGGTGAAGACGACAAGAGAAAGCTGAGCAAAACAAGAGATAGAAACCTGTTGTTAGATTTCATGTGGCAATCTGAATCCAGATGGTAAAAGAAAGGATTCAACGTATTTTAAAATCAACTTTGACCAAACCAAACCAATAGCCCCTACCAATGAACTATCACATACCTGTAAAAGATTCATATCATCCGGATTTTCAGATCCAGGAACGTTTTCTTTTAATATTGATGACATGACTCTCACATTCATTTTTGCCATATCCAGTTCACTGTACAGTTTCCCAATCTGTTGGGTTCAAGGTGACAGTGTATTGTGCAGGTGAACTGAGTGATCAGAATAATTTTTACCTTGAATATGTAGTTTCTTCTACATTAGGTATAAAATGGGCCTAATTAGCATTCTTTTACTCTGGTGACATGCCATGAAAATGAACGGAATTAGCTCAGCTTCTATATATGCAAGCAAACTAAAATCCAAGTCTGACAGGACTACTCATTTTTCTTACAGTTAATCCCTCTCACTAATGTTAC